GCGGTGCTTGATCGATGAGGGACGTCTACCCCTCCAAAAATTGAGATAATGTGGGAAGCGAATGTATGGGCACGGTCCGAGAAAGGGTTGTAGCTCTGAATACCAAGTGTTATGAGCGCAATTGAGTGAGCGAACGAAGATTGCGTTATCGAAGCAACAGTGCAATGAGTGAAGGCACGAGCGAACATTATATAGCGAAAGCTATCGTGGTAATGGTAACGTGCGAGAATGTGGTGCGCGACGGGCCTGGCGCTGAGGTTGGGAATTGTCGAGGCGGAGGACTGGAGTGCGGATTACCAACCGAACAGTGAGGTTGGGTCGCGATGTGAACAGTGGCGGGAACAGTGGTCGATGCGAGTGTTGCTTATGGCAACGTTTTGCTGTAGGGTGCTGTTGGCGGGAACAGTCATGTACACGGTAAGCAGGGGCGCAAAGTAAGGAAAAGGAATGGGGAAATATGTCACAAGTAACCAACATGGGATTCGATAACGTGAATGGTAAAAAATTAACGCATCCGATCACTGTATCGGGTTTGCTGACGGGTTTGGTAAGTGGGGTCACGGATTCAGTCACTAACAACAGGTAAAAAATCACGCGAATTGTCAGATGTCCACTGGAGATCCCCGATTGATCCTCGGGAAGGGTTGTGTCAGAATATTATGTTTCTCTAGTCTGCAGTGGGGTACTCTGTAGTGAGTACAACCCTGTTAGGGTTTTCTATTTGTATCCCAATGCTTTCTAGTGCAATCATCCTTTCTCGTTCCATTCTTTCGTCAAATCCTTCTCACATGGTATAGAGCTAGTTTCGATCCTTCCTCGGCCCCACCACTTAAACTTAAACTTTTTTTTTTTTACTGCCCTTCTGCCCGAAGCGCCCTTCGCGGCCCCTTCGTGGCCCCTTAACGGCCCCTTCGTGGCCCCTTAGCGACCCCGTCGCGGCCCTTCGTGGCCCCTTAGCGACCCTGTCGCGGCCCTTTGTGGCCCCTTCGCGACCCTGTCGCGGCCCTTCGTGGCCCCCCATTCGCGACCCCGTCGCGGCCCTGTCGCGGCCCCGTCACGACCTAGCCCCGGCCCTGCCCCGTCGCCCGGCCCTGCCCCGTCGCCCGACCCTGCCCCGTCGCGGCCCCACGTCGCGGCCCTCCGTCGCGGCCCCCGTCGCGCCCCCCCCCCGTCGCGGCCCCCGTCGCGGCCCCCCGTCGCGGCCCTCCGTCACGGCCCCCCGTCGCGGCCCCACGTCGCGGCCCCACGTCGCGGCCCCCCCCGTCGCGGCCCCCCCCGTCGCGGCCCCCCGTCGCGGCCCCCGTCGCGGCACCCCGTCGCGGCCTCCCGTCGCGGCCCCTGTCGCGGCCCCTGCCCCGGCCCTGCCCCTGCCTTGCCGCGGCCCCTGTCGCGGACCCTGTCCCGGCCCTGCCCCGGTCCTGCCCCTGCCCTGCCCCGGCCCTGCCCCGGCCCTACCCGGCCATGTCGCAACGCACCCGGGGCCCGCGCCCCGCCCCCCCCGCCCCTCTTTTCCCGTCGCCCGTCGCGGCGCCCTGGGGGGCATCTGGGGGGGGGGGGGCGGCGGGCGTCGCCCCTTCTGCCGCCTGTGTTGGCGCCCTGGGCGGCCGCGCGTCGCCCCCCCCCCCCCCCCCCCACCCCGTACCCTCCCTACCCGCCATCCCGCCCTGCCCTGTGTTAGGGTTTGGGGGTGGCGAGTAGGGGGTGGCGGGTGTGTGGAATCCCCTGCTCCTCCTCCTCCTCCGTCTCCCACTGCTGCAGCTGCCGCTGAGGGGGGTGGGTGTGTGGGAGCCGATGGAGTGGTGCTAGGGGGTGGGTGTGTGGGAGCTGACGGAGTGGTGCTAGGGTGTGGCGTGTGAGCAGAGTTAGAGGTGCAGCAAGGGGTGTGTGAAAGGGGGGTGGGACAGTTGGGGGAGGTTGAATGGAGGCGGTCGTCGTGTCGTCAGCAGCACCAGTAGTCCGGGGCGCTGCTCCGGTAGCCCAGTCGTAGCCAGCTGCGCCAGTCGCCCGTGGGTCCGTTGCTCCTGCCGCTCAGAGTTAGCCGCCGAGCCAGTTACTCCTGTAGTCCGGAGCGCTGTTCCGGTAGCCACTGTGCCAGTGTGACTCCTGTTGCCCGTGTGTCTGCAGCTTCAGCCGTCGACTCCTATCTCCTCTCCTCTTACAGTCCCGCCTCCTCCTCACTTGCCCTCTGTGATAGCCTCTAGCTTGGCTTATAATTGTGAACTTTAAACTGTTGCTTGTGCTCAGAATGTGTGGTGACATTGTGATCCACCCTGAGCTTATTTTGCTTTGCTTCTTGTGCTGATCATACCCCACTTTGACTATGGGGGTGTGTCAGAATATTATGTTTCTCTAGTCTACAGTGGGGTACTCTGTAGTGAGTACAACCCTGTTAGGGTTTTCTATTTGTATCCCAATGCTTTCTAGTGCAATCATCCTTTCTCGTTCCATTCTTTCGTGAAATCCTTCTCACGGGTTGCAGGCTCATTGTCCTGGGGGGTTATGGGCGCACTGACCCGCTACTTAACAAGCCCTTTTATCCCAGTGGTCTAGTGACTGGGATTCTGACATGGTATCAGAGCGAAGGTCTCGGGTTCGAATCTCAGTGTGTGCACTTCGGGCATCCCAGTGCGGGGGGGTGTCAGAGGTCCACTGGAGATCCCCGATTGATCTTAGAGAAGGGTTACAGGCTCGTTGTCCTGGGGGGTTATGGGCGCACTGACCCGCTACTTAACAAGCCCTTTTAGCCCAGTGTCGTTGTCCTGGGGGATTCTGACACGAATAGTCAAACATGTAACTCCCGCCAATTTTTTTTGAAACGCTACAAAATTCCCGCTCGCGTCCAACCGATCAGCTAACTTCTAAAAAAACTAAAACCCGATCGGAATCGGAAGCGGTTTGGGCACGGATCAACCCTAAACACCTGGCGAATTGTGTTTAGGGTTGATTCATCCGAAAATGCATCCAAATTCGTTTTGGGTTTTATATTTTTTTGGGCAGGAGTTTCATCTGTGACCATTCACGCTTTTTTTTCCCCAGTCGATTGTGACTGATTTTGTCAAACGTTTTATCGAACACGTGAAAGAACCCTTTGTAGTGATCGTACCCATTATTTTCTTACCAAACATATTATCTAGACCGTTGTTAATTAAGTGACATATTTTCCAAAAAAGAATTTCCCTTACAAAAAACCTGCTATGTCCTTGATATGTAAACGTGATTGGCGAGAGGTGTACCCCACGTCAGGACGCTGTCCGAACCGAAGTTTGGTAGGCTGGGTATGTACAGCACACCTCTGAGGGAAACCTCGCGTGGTGGTGACTTCCAAGTTCCAACCGAGCGAGGGAAATCTCGCGCAGTGGTGACTTCCATCCAACCAAACCAAGTTCCAACCGAGCTTAGGGAACGCCAGATCAACTTGGTTTGGTTCCGCTCTCCCCTCCAGCGTAAATACAGCTTTGCCTTGCTTGCTGAACACGTGTGACAGAACTTCCTGAACCAGAGCTTGCTTGCTTGCGGAAGGAACACCGCACAGCCGTGTCGGTCTCCGCAACCACACCAACCTGGCCGTAGAATTGCAAAATCCATGCCCCAATCATGGCCTGCGAAGAAGCGCGTTTCCCGCTTGGTCTGAGTTTCCCACAGTCAGTTTTACAAGTCAAGAGTAGACTTCCAGGTCAACTGGATATAGGTCTCAAGCATTTTCAAGGCGCGTTCATTTTTTGACAGTTTGGTGCCACTTTGATTTCTTCCTTTGTTGTTTATGATTCCATGTTCATGTATGTGATGCGGATCTGACGTTTAGGTCTTAGGTATCCGAATCACCCGCCCCAGCTGGCTCCGCCTTCCGCGTTTCCTACACTGGAACTGGAATCGCGGCGTCCTTCCAACATCGCGGAAGCAGCAACAAGAATGAGCGGGCCAGACCAGACCGTGCCAACGACCCAAATCATGAAAACAGCTCGGTACGGAGGATTTAAGGCGGGGTAACGAAAGATGCTTTGCCAAGCACGCTGGAGGAACCTGATACACCTCACCATAGTTGTGATTGGAACAGCGCGGTTTGGGAAGATGAACCTGGTTTGGTCGCTAGCCTTGGTGATGGTTTGGGGAGATGTGAGGTGATGAAACAACACACACCAAGCATTCCTTCCTGCAATCATAAAAGTCGGACCAAAACATACCATACCCATCCATGCTTCCATCCAGTAGCTACAATCTTTCTTGCTTTACTACTTCTGGTACAACTTGTAGCAGGACTCCATAGATCGCACGCTACCATCGACATGCGAGGCTGCGGCGAGTGAAATCTGAGCTGTATTTATAAGCGTGCGAAAATACCAGTAAGCTCATCACAAGGGCCACGATTCAGTTTTCACAGCTGCGCGGATTAGTACGACGAAAGAAGCAAGGTTCGTGAGTGCTAGTCTTCGCCACGAGCTCGCGCCATCGCACGCGCTTCACACGCGAGTGAAAAACTCTCCGAAATAAACATTATAGGCGCAGACGGGCTCGAGTGGCGATACGAGAACGCCGGCAGCGCACCGGGGGGTTACGCCGTCAGCCATGGATGGTGTCAAGCTAAACCAAACAAGCGTGGAATTCCCATGTAAGCAAAAATACATCTACTGCTGGTATCGTTAATCAAGCAGCTATGTTGTGTCACGCTGCGCCCTTCGTTGCCCCGTCGTTGTTGTCCATCAACATTATCGTCCGTCCTGAACCTTCCGCGAATAATTACCTCCGCCGCATGGCTTTCCTCTCTTATCACCGACTCATCTTCCTTTCCTCCTCCCCTGCATCTTCCCCCTCTCACAGCTCCCCCTCATGTATACCATCCCCATATCTCCTTCCGGCCTTGCCCCCTATGTAACGACAACACCTTCCTTCCTTCACCCTCCCCTCTTCCGCCCATCCCCCCTCCTTTCCTCCCCGCTTGTTCCGTCGTCCCCTCTCCCCCGTCCTTCCGCACTCCCCCCCATCCATCCCGCTTCCGCGTGCAGTCACGGTGGGCGCGGATCTGCATTCCTCCCTTCAGATTGTCAACACCGCCACCAAGTCAAGAGCCATCCGGGTAAGCTAGTAGCTGCGCGTCAGAGATTAATTAACTACGTACGCGCCGACGATCCGATAGCCCTCGTGCATGTCTGTCTGTATTACTATCGGCTGAGAATAGTTCTCGTTCCAGATCACGTCAGGGGGAGTCAGGTCAGGGCGAACGCGCTCTCCGTCTCTGCCCCCAAAACATTATCATCAGTACACTCCCCCATTTCCCCCTGTCTCTCCTCCTTTCCTCCACCCCATTCTTGCTTCAGATCACTCCAGGGAGATCAAAGGAGTATGCGGTTGAGAGGGGATGCACGATCTTGCTTCCGCCCAATGCATACGTGGAGAAAGGAGGTCAGCCATAGGGGCGCAGCCTGTGCATGCATGCGTGTGCGCGTGCGAGTGGGAGTGCGGTGCGGGGTGCGGGGTGCGGGTGCGGGGTGCATATGAGGCTACGTGCATGTGTGTGCTCCAGCAAGGTTCAGTGCACGCTTCATGTCTTTTCGAATATACTTTTGCGCCCCTTTTCTGTTTCCTCTCCTGTTGTATTCATTCCCTCCCCTCCCCCTCATCATCTCCTTCCCCCCACCACACCCCCCCGTCCAAACCCCCTCCTCCTCCTCCTCCTCCTCCTCCTCCTCCTCCTCCTCCTCCTCCTCCTCCTCCTCCTCCTCCTCCTCCTCCTCCTCCTCCTCACGCCCAATGCGCCCTTGCCCATCATGCCAGTGACATGCCCGGCCTTTCCCCGCAAGCCCTTCTGGTTCCCCTCCGACTCCTTCACGTTCGATGCCTTCGCCACAATCGAAGAGGTCAGCACTCTCAAGCCCCTTCCTTCAACGTACATTACTAGACCGATTGAAATGAGACGAGCTCTTTCGTGGGCGGGCATGTGCTCGCTCACCACACTTTGTCTTTCGAGACATCTCAAAACACTCTTATTATCACGTGGGCGGGCATGCGCTCGCTCACTACACTTTGTCTTTCCAGCTTCCTTCCATCCATCCTGCGCGTTCCTTTGCTTCTCTCTTTCCTCCCCCCCTCTCTCTCCCTTCCCCTCTCGCTACCATCTCTCTCCTCCCGCACCTCTCTCTTTCCTCTCTTCACTCAACATTTTTTCTCCCTGCCTCTCTTCATTCCCTCCTATACGTCCCTCTGCTATCCATCTATCCATCTATCCATCTATCCATCCATTCATCCATTCATCAATGCAGATGGACGATGCAGCACCCACAGCAGTCGGAACCCTAGGGAGGCTTCAACTTCCCGTGACTTTCCCCGAAGCGCCTCCTCCTCCTCCTGCTCCTCTTGCGCCTCTTCCTCCGCTTCCCCCTCCGGGTCCTCTCACTCTCGCTCGCAGCGCCAGTGCCGGAAGCCCAGTCGAATCGAATGCTGTCAGGGCAGCATTGGAAGCAACGGGTCACGACGAGGGTGCATGGATACGGCGCTCTACCAGCGACGCTGCTGCTGCTGCTGCTGCTTATTCCGCTGCTACGACTGTCCCTGCTGGTGCTGCTGCTCCCTGCGCACCCACACAAGGTACACAGAGTATGGAGCAGGGCTCGATAGGGGCGATGAGTGCGGGGAGAAGAGGAGGAGGAGGAGGGGGCAGAAAGCGCATGAGTATAATGTCCTTGTACCAGCAGGCTAAGGTGATGCCCTTGCAGCAGCAGCAGCAGCAGCAGCAGCAGGAAAAGGGGCAAGAGCAGGTATCAGCGACCGTACCAGCAGCACCACCAGCAGCGGCAGCAGCAGCAGCAGCAGCAGCAAGTGCAGCTGCGGAAATCCAAGCACCATCATCAGCAACTTTATCAGGGGAAGCAACTGCAGCTGCTGCTGTTGCCGAATCACAATCGCGAGGAGCAGCAACAGGAATTGGGGCAAGTGATACCAACAACAACGGCAACGGAAACAGCAACATCACCACCACCAGCAGCAGCGCCAGCAGCACTGGTACTACGACCAGCGACGACGAGGCTATAGCAGCGCTAGAAGCAAAGCTGGCAGCAGCAGAACGGGCAGTGGCAGAGCGAGAGAAGCTCCTACTGTCCCATCGCGAGGCAGTAGAATCTCTCTCCAAGAAGCTCGCCCACCGCAACGAGATGCTCTATGCCGCCCGGGAGCGAGCAGCACAGCTGGCGGAAGACGTGAAAGTCAGGGAGGACGCTGTCAAGGCCATGGCGGTTTCCCATGTAGAAGCTCAGGTGAATTCTCAGGTGGAGGCTTCGGGGAATTCGTTGCTCCCTGGGTCTCCTCCGAGAGGTGCAACAGCAGCAGCAGCGTTACCCTCGTCGGCAGCAGCAGCAGCAGCGGAGGTGACAGCGGTTGCAGCGGTGGCGGCAGAAGCAGCAGAGGATCACGAGAAGGTGAAGCAGTGGTTGGAAGAAGCAGAGGAGCGCGCAGAGCATGCAGTGCGAGAGAGCAAGAGACTCACTGCAGAGATAGCACGGCTTATGGCTGAGAGCCGCAGCAACCGGCAGCGACTGGACGAGCTGGAAATGGAAAGGTCAAACCATCGGAGGGAGAAGGCGGCGTGGGAGGGCAGAGAGGCGGAGCGGCGGGAGGAGAAGGGGAGGTGGAGGGAGGAGCGGGCGCGGTGGGAGGGGGAGAGGGCGGCCATGCAGCGGCAGATGAGGGCGCTGAGGGCGGAGAAGGTGGAATTGGAGGGGAAGTTTGGACAGCTGCATGCGGCGTGGTGTGAGGTACGTGGGTTTTGGGTGGCTAAGTCAAGTCTCTTATTGAGTCGAGTCGGAAAGCGCGGTGGGAGGCAGAAAGGATCGCCATGCAGCGGCAGACGAGGGCTGGTGGGAAAGCTTGATTGCTTAGCATCTGGGTGGGCTCATGGTTCGGCTGGCCCGGAAGGTGATCATAGGTGCTCGTAGTATGTGCCTATATCCGCCCCTTGGTATGATATCAGCACTTACATCCTCCTCCAAACCCCCTCTCTGCTGTAGCATGTTATTTGTTTGACTTCTCTCTAGCCACCACCACCTGCGCAGTGCGCACCACCGGCCTTTTGACACCGTTTCACACGCTTTCACACCTTCTTCATGCCTTTATGCACCGCTTTGCACCCTACACTCCTCACAGTGTTTTCACACCGTTTCACAACCTTCCACACCCATGTTCCTGATCCGACCCACAACACCCTCCCCGCCCCTACTCCCCTCCCTACTCCCTTTTTCCCTCCAGAAACAGCAGGGGGGCCTGTCAGAAAATTCCGACCTGTCCACCGTCACAGATGACTGTGATTCCTCCGACGCTGACTCAGCATTGAGCAGCGCGCATGCCACGTCAGCGGAGTCAGGAGTCCGGTCTGTGGAACAGTCAGGGGAGTTGACTGAGTCAACGGGGTCAAACGAAGTCAAGGAGCAGTCTTGGGGGAGGGTGGGAGAGAAACCGCAGAAGAAAGAGCAGGGGCAGGGTGAGGGCGAGGAGCAACAGGAAGAGCAGGAACAGGGGAGGGATGGGGAGACAGGCGAAGTAAGGAAGTCAGTGGCAGGGGTTCGGTGGGATATGCTGCGGTTGGCTGCAAGGCACAAGCAGGCTATGAGGGAGGTGGAAGAGGAGCTAAAGGAGAAAGATGAGAAGATTAGAGACCTTGGAAAGGCGATTTGTATGCTGGAGGATAAGGAAGAGAAGAGAGAGGAGGAGAGGAGGAGGGAGGAGGAGGAGTTGAGGTTTCAGATAGAGGAGAAGGAGAGTGCTGTGCGGGAGAGAGAGGAGAGGGTGTGTGAGTGGGAGAGAATGGTGGAGGAGAGGGAGGAGGAGGCGAGAGTGTGGGAGTGTAAGGTGGTGGAGCGAGAAGGGAGTGTGCGGCAGAGGGAGGAGCGAGAGAGGGAGGAGGAGGGGAGGTTGCGGCAGTGGGAGGATAGGTTGCAGGGGAGGGGTGGGAGGGTGGAGGAGTTGGAAGGGGAGGTGGGGAGGTTGAGGGCGGTGGTGAGGGAGAGGACGGAGGAGGGGTTCGCTATGCAGCAGGCGATGGAGCGATTGCAGATGGAGCTGAGTATCTCGGGAGAGGCAGCTCACTCCCCACCTATGCAGATGCAGAAGCAGATGCAGATGCAGGGACTCTCTCAGGGACTCTCCCCTATGCACCACCTCTCCGTGAATGCAGACCCACCATGTGGCAAAGGGAACGGAGACGGGAACAGCGTCAGTAGCTATGCTGAAGGAGTGGGGGATGGGAAGGACCCGTGCAGCAAGCAAGCAGGAGATGCACAGCCCGCTGTAAGTATCGTTGTGTTGTGTTGATCGCCTGTGTCTCTGTGCTGGCTGGTTGGCTGATTGCAGGGCTGGTGCGTCTGTGCTGGTGCGTGTACAGCACAGCACTCTTGAGTCGTTTTGACGTGAATTCTTGAGTCGAGTCACGATATCTACTTATCGGCACTGTGGCGGGCACTGGTTGGTTGTCTTGTGTTCATCTCCTCACACTGACTTCTCAATTTCCCTCTCCCTCCCAATCCTGCTCCCCCCACCCCTCTCTCACTCTACTCTCTCCATGTCCTCCCCTTTCTCCTCCCCTCCTCCCCTCCCTTTGTCTCCTTCCTTCCACTCCCCTCCTCCCCTCCTCCCGTCCCTGTGTCTCCTCCTCCCCTCCTCCCTTCCCTTTGTCTCTCTTACTCGTTTCTCCTCTGCAGCCCGGCTCGTGGCAGTGGGAGAAGCAGGCGCTGCTGTTCCAGGTGCAGTCGCTGCAGCTGCTGTTGCAAGACGCCAGGGAGCTGCTGCGAAGAGAGAGATACCTCCGGCAGCAGGTGAGGCTGGGTGGGAGAGAGCTGGGATGGGATGGGATGGGATGGGATGGAGATGGGGTACGGTACACGGAGTGATAGGGCGTGGTAGATGTTGAAAGGATATTATCGGTCGGCTCGAGAACAGGATACGGGTGACCAGTGTTGGAAGGCACTCGGTAGGTAGGTCGTGACTTATGGCGTCTGGACAAGGGCCACCAAAGTTACTCATTCTGTAACGGGTGTTGAAAGTAGTTGGGTTAGATCCGCAGCAAGCCTACTAAGAGTTTACATCGGCACAAGGGCCACCTGAGTTACTCATTCCGTAACGGGTGTTTGTTTTGTGGTTCTGTTCGGCTGATGTTCCTGTTCCCACTAATCTGTTTGGACTTGTGTTCATGACCCATGCAATGCAGGCCAACATGCAGGCAGAGAGGGCTGCTTCAGGCCGCATGCCTCTCTCTCACCACCGCAGCCACCGTTACGTGGAGCAGCAGCAGCGCCAGCAGCAGCTCCTGCTGCAGCAACAACAGCACCCACAGCAGCACCCAGAATTGCTCATGGCACGCAGTGCGAGTTTACCTGTGGACAATGGCATTCACCCCCCCATGGGAGTCCAGCCTGGTGTGCCGGGTCATGTGCGCGCCGGGATGCCAGGGATGCCTTACTCCCCGGCTGATTTAGGAGGTGTGGGTGACCACTTGCTTCCTCCTGTCATTTCCGTGGAGAGGCAATGCCGTTTGCCGCCAACGCATATGGCAGAACAGGAATTGCAGGAGCAGCAGCAGATGCAGTATCAGTGGTCACAGCAGCAGCAGCAGCAGCAGCAGCAGCAGCAGCAGCAGCAGCAGCAGCAGCAGCAGCAGCAGCAGCAGCAGCAGCAGCAGCAGCAGCAGCAGCAGCAGCAGCAGCAGCAGCAGCAGCAGCAGCAGCAGCAGCAGCAGCAGCAGCAGCAGCAGCAGCAGCAGCAGCAGCAGCAGCAGCAGCAGCAGCAGCAGCAGCAGCAGCAGCAGCAGCAGCAGCAGCAGCAGCAGCAGCAGCAGCAGCAGCAGCAGCAGCAGCAGCAGCAGCAGCAGCAGCAGCAGCAGCAGCAGCAGCAGCAGCAGCAGCAGCAGCAGCAGCAGCAGCAGCAGCAGCAGCAGCAGCAGCAGCAGCAGCAGCAGCAGCAGCAGCAGCAGCAGCAGCAGCAGCAGCAGCAGCAGCAGCAGCAGCAGCAGCAGCAGCAGCAGCAGCAGCAGCAGCAGCAGCAGCAGCAGCAGCAGCAGCAGCAGCAGCAGCAGCAGCAGCAGCAGCAGCAGCAGCAGCAGCAGCAGCAGCAGCAGCAGCAGCAGCAGCAGCAGCAGCAGCAGCAGCAGCAGCAGCAGCAGCAGCAGCAGCAGCAGCAGCAGCAGCAGCAGCAGCAGCAGCAGCAGCAGCAGCAGCAGCAGCAGCAGCAGCAGCAGCAGCAGCAGAAGCAGCAGCAGCAGCAGCAGAAGGTGCAGGAGCAGGAGCTGTGGCAGCTGCAGCCACCGCAGCAGCAGTGGCATGCGTTTCTGTCACATGTTCACAAGGAGGGCGTAACTTCACCGAGCATCCACACCTGAGCCGCCGCATTGCTTCTGGGACGTCTCAAAAGACCGTCCCAGCTGTTGCATGTTCACAGAGTGCCTCAGTGCCACTTCTTGTGTGAGATGAAATGATAACTCTGTGTTGTCTGTGATTTTGTTTTATTTGATTTTTTTCCGCTTGCGGTGTGGTTTTCTTGTGTGTTATTGCGAAACAGTTGGGTTTGGTGCCTAGATGCACACTGTGTGAAGGATATATGCTAATGAAGTTACTGATTCGAGAAATAGCTCAGGGCCTGGGACGGAGCAGCCATTTGTTTTGTGGTCACCTTAATGCTACTTAATTGATGTGTGAAAGTGAAACGCTTCTACTACATTGGCATATTCAAACTCCGAGGATCATACACTTCTTAGAGAATTACGTTACAATACTCACACTATGCAAGCACTGCTTTGCCATCAGCAGCATCATTGCCATTGCCAGGGTTTACAGTACATCCTTACCCCATGTAACACTGAACCTGCTTTCAGTCTGATTCATCCAGCCCCTTCAACCGCGAGAAACAACGGAAGCAGCAACAGCAGCAGCGGGAGGAGCAGCAGCAGCAGAAGTAGCAGCAGCGGCGGTAGTAGCAGCACCTGCACCACCACCACGATAAGCACCATCCACGCCAACAGCATCAGCAGCATCAGCAGCAGCAGCAGCAGCAGCAGCAGCAGCAGCAGCAGCAGCAGCAGCAGCAGCAGCAGCAGCAGCAGCAGCAGCAGCAGCAGCAGCAGCAGCAGCAGCAGCAGCAGCAGCAGCAGCAGCAGCAGCAGCAGCAGCAGCAGCAGCAGCAGCAGCAGCAGCAGCAGCAGCAGCAGCAGCAGCAGCAGCAGCAGCAGCAGCAGCAGCAGCAGCAGCAGCAGCAGCAGCAGCAGCAGCAGCAGCAGCAGCAGCAGCAGCAGCAGCAGCAGCAGCAGCAGCAGCAGCAGCAGCAGCAGCAGCAGCAGCAGCAGCAGCAGCAGCAGCAGCAGCAGCAGCAGCAGCAGCAGCAGCAGCAGCAGCAGGAGAAGCAGCTCTGGCAGGAGCAGGGGCAGGAAGAGCCACAGCACTCGCGGCAAATGAGAGGACACTGGCGCTGAGCTTGAACGAGCTGAGCAGCCTGCTGCAGTGCGCTGCTATGAGCCGCTCGTTAATGGCACGTGAAGACACTACAGATGGTGCTGCTGCTGATGATAGCTGGGAAGCCTGGGGCTTGAGTGCAAAGAAGGCTGACTCTTGCTCCTGGGCTGATTCCTGTGGGAGGAAGAGATGATGAGGCAGGAAGGAGGGAAGGATGGTATTGAGGCAAGGAAACAGATGTGATGATGGATGTGCGTGGAGGGTTTGCAAGAATGACAGATAGGTAGTATCGTGAAGGGTCGAAAGAAAGGAAGCCCAGCACAGAAGCAATCAGGGCCCGTCAGAAGCTCACCAATAAATCCAACAGTTGGTTTCTCTTCTCCTCCTCCTTCTCCGCCTCCTCACTGCCCTCCTTGCTCCTCCTTAACAACATCTCCACATCCTCCTGCTTTAACGACTTCTCGATTGGCCGTAAGTACACTCCCCTCCCAGCCCTCCTCCGTCGCACCCCAAACCCAAGCACCCCACCGAACCCATCCACACCGCCCTCCCCACCCACACTCCTCCCCACCCCCGCACCGCCCCCCTCCCCAAAATCCATAGTCAGCAGATCAGGTATCATCTGGCCTGCCCGGGACCGAGCGGCATGATTGGTCGCTTCCCTGAGAAGGAGCACGCTGGGGGGAGGGAGGTATGGGGCGAGGCACGGGCTGCAGGCAGAGGGAGGGATGAGAGCACAGGAGCGGGAGCGAGGGGAGAGAGGCGGGCATGCAGGGGCAGGACGCGGCTTCGGCTTTGGCTTGTGGGCTGAAGCGTTGGCAGAACCAGCAGCAGCTGCGGCAAGAGGAGGTGGGCGGATGGAAGAAGCGATCGGTCGAGAGGGGTCGGGGTGATAGAGTCTAGATGGTGATGGTTTGCTTCGTCCCACACCACCATTCCCTGATATGGCGCCTCTTCTACCCGCCATGCCTCTTCCTCGTAGCCCCATTCCCCTCCCAAAAGCGCCGCCTGAAAAACGTCCCCCCTCTCCTCCCCCTCTTCCTTCTCCCTCTCTCCCTCTGCCTCTCCCCCTTCCCCTTCCCCTCCCCCACCCGCCTCCCGCTTCCTCTTGTGCCGCCGCCTTCCTCCTTAGCTGCTTCTCCTTCTTCGCGGCTTGTTGGGTTCGCCACGCACGCGCGGCGGCAGCAGCAGCAGCGGCAACAGCGGCGGCGGTCGCAGCGTCACCGTCAGCATCAGCAGCACTGGCAGCAAGGTCGTCTGGTAGACAGGAGACCACATCTGGGTAGTACTCGGCACTCTGATGCTCCCTTGCTTTCTTCTTCTTTCTCGGTCGCCGCATTGCTTCTCTCGCCTCTCTTTCCTCATCACCCTCCTCACCCTCCTCTCCTTCCTCTCCTCCTTCTCCCTCTCCATCCCCTTCTCCCGCTCCTCCCTCCTCCATCTCCCTCCTCCGCCTCCTCCTCCTCCTTCGCTTCGGCCCTTCGCCCATACCACCAACATCAGCATCACCACCATCAGCACCAGATCCCTCCCGTGCCATCACACTCCGCATGGCCTTCCTACATCCCGAGCACTGAGAGCCATGGAAATACCGCCCCACCACCCACCCACACCGACCAGAACCATCCCCTCCTGCTCTCATCCATCCCTCCTCCCCCTCCCCCCCTTCCCCCTCTCCATGTCCCCCTCCCTCTCCCGCTCCTTCCCATTCGCCTCCTCTTCCTCCTTCCCCAACCATGTCTACATCAATCAAAGGACTGAACACACCCTTGGGAAGCCCAGATCTTTTCACCCGTGGTTTCCGCGCCTTTCTCTTCAGCACTCTCGCCTTAATCCTACCTCCCTCCCGTCCCTCCCGTCCCTCCCCTCCCTCCTCTCCCTCCTGCATCCTCTCTGCTCCTTCCCCCTCCTGCGCTTCAGACCCCCCTCCATCAAACATCCCTGCATCTTCCTCTCCCTCCTCCTCATCCCCATCTTGTGTCAAGTCAGCAACTGACTCTCCTCCGTCCTCCTGTTCCTCCTCCTCCCACCCCTCTGAATCGTTCTCCATCCACTCCTGCCATTCCTCTGCTCCGTAGCCCTCTCCTTCTCCTCGCGAAACCCAAACCTCCTCCTCTTCTTCCTGCTCCTGCTCCTCCTGCTCCCCTCCCACTTTCACGTTCCCTTCCCCAGCCCCACTCACATCCTTTCTCCCACCTTTCTCCACTCTCCGACCTACCCCCTTCCTTTCCACCAACTCCGCTTGCCTCTCCCTTTTCCCCCCCGCTTTCCCCTCTTCCCCAGCCTCTTCTGCCCCTTCTCTTGTCTCCCTACCACCCACCTGCACTTCCTCCTCACCTTCCTCCTCCTCCCCTTCTTCTTCCTCCTCTTCCTCCTCCTCCTCCTCCTCCTCATCATCATACTCACTATCCTCTGAGCTTGTATCGTACAAAGGCACATCCTCAACTTCAAATCTAGTGAAGAAGAGTAGATATAGAGAGAGAGAGAGAGGCAAAAAGAGAGGAGAGGAAAGGGGAAGGCGGGAGGGGTGGGGGGGCGGGGGGGGGGGGGGGGGGGGGGGGGGGGTAGAGGGGATGAGAAAGGAATTCGGGGTTAAAGTGGGATGGGTGGGCGATACATTTACCAAAGCAAGGACGTGGATACATGTGCCAAGGTAAGGACGTATGTACACATGCGGTCTAAGTTAGCGGACGGGGAGGAGAGGTGCCAAAATGAGGATGTGAGGAGGTGAGGAGGTGAGAAGCTGAGATGAGAGGGCGATGAGGGAGGATGCGAGAGGTTGGGAGGGGGGATGCGAGGAAGGAGGATACAAGGAACATGAGGCAAACAAATGACGCATCTCTTAAGGAGGAAACTAAGGAACAGATGGAAACCAAGAATTCTCAGAAGTGAAGAGGGAATGAGATGAGGAGCACTATAAAGAGCGAGTGCAAAAGGATAAAGAAAAGGGTGGCTGGATGATGAATACAGAGCACGTCGGAAAATTAAGGGACTGAAGAGGAATCAAGAGGATTCAAGTGGGATCAAGGGAATCAAGAGAAATCAGGAACAATGAGGAGGAATAAGGAGGTCTCACCGGCCGTCATCGTCCACCCAGAGGTACGTATCTTCCTGGTTCAATCGTAACAGGAGGGAGGCAGAACAGGCACACACATACACACACACATAAGTGTGCATGCATGGTTCGATGCAAAGGTTTGACAAGAGTAAAATGTGCAAACACAAGAGCAAGTGAACTAGCAGTGGACAACCAAGACACAGCGGAGACGAAAAACTGAGAGAGAAACTAAGAACACAAACTGCTTACCTGAAAGGCGCGGGACTTGGCTCCAAGGAAGCCGACGCAGGCAGCGGCACCGCAGCGGCACTTGACCTTGTCGCCCCCGTACCACTCGTAGTCATAGTCGTATGTGAGCTCACAGCCCGCCACGCATGCACACGCACGTGCACACACCCACGCACGTGCACGCACCCCAGCCACCCCCCCCCACCCCCTCCCTCCCCCCCACTCCCTCCTCCCCCCCACCCCCAACACACAAACTCACATACGCACACACCGGCACATACACACACACACAAAATTGCACAGAAAGGGCAGGAAATCTATACCTGAAAAGCGCGGGATTTGGCTCCAAGAAAGCCGACGCAGGCAGCAGCTCCACAGCGGCACTTGACCTTGTCGCCCCCGTACCACTCGTAGTCATAGTCGTATGTCAGCTCACAGCCTGGCTCTATGTCCTTGCGCGCAAATATGCCCACTCGGATCTCCCCCAGCACTGTCCACTTGCGAGTCTCACAGTTGGGATCGCTGCAATGCAAGGAGGGGGGGATGGGTATGGGAGCGGGAAGGGAGGTGAGGGAGTTTCAGATCTTGGGGCGGCTTAATACAAGGGGAAGGAGTGCGGACTTGGTTCTACCCCAGCACTGTCCACTT